CCCACATCCATCCCATCCATCCCATGCGGTCCATCCCTCCCATCCGTTCCATTCGTCAATCCATCTCTGTCTGTCTGTCTGTCTGTCTGTCTGTCTGTCTGTCTGTCTGTCTGTCTGTCTGTCTGTCTGTTTCTCTCGCTCTCTGTCTATCTGTCTATCCATCCAAGTGGGACGCCCTAAGCCCTTCAGTTCTTTTGTTTTTTTTTCCACTTCTTTTTATATGTTGGCAACAGCACTTCTATCAGCATATCTTCTACAATGCGAGAATTCACTATCTCGCAGTCGAGCATGCAAATCGTAGTCTAGGTCACCAATTGGCGATTGACAAACAACATCAGTTCTTCAAAAAACTTGTCCACCGTCGCCTCGCATTGGTAGCAATTTCCATCGTTTGCCCTGGAACATGCATTCAGACACTCTTCTCCCGCCCGGAGGCGGTAGTTCCACTGCACCTTCTCACCACCCACCCGGATAGGCCAAATAGCCGGGTCATCCCCGGCTATTTGGCTATTCGGGTGGGTGGTGAGAAGGTGCAGTGGTGGGAGGAGAGTGTCCGGCTATTTGGCTATTCGGTCATCCCCGGTAACTACCGCCTCGAACTGCTGTCGAAAGAGTATTGAGTAACACTAACAATGATTGCTATATACTAACGTACTCCTTCAAAGTAACCTTTGGCGCGCGCTAAAGATTCCCCAAGTTAATTGCCGCTTTAGAGGAGCAGTAGATATGTGCCTCTTCTGTACAAAAGAGGCACAGATGGCCCTCTAATTCCCCAAGTTAAAAGCCAAAACACAAGTGCGACATTAGAGGACGAGTACATCTGTGCCTCTTTTGTATGAGGCGGTTAACTGCCGCCTCGAACTGCTGTCGAAAGAGTATGAGTAACACAGTGGCGCCTCGAACCGCTGGTTGGCAGCCAACTAATCAAGGGGCGCCAACCATCGGCCTATGCAACTCTGATAATAATGCTGAAAATTTTACGAATGTGTAGGGAACAGAAGTTCCAATCGTATAGCATACATTATACGAAGTTATACGAATAGCACATATGTCATCTTCCTTTCGCCCCCTTCCCCCTCCCCCCACCCCTCTCTGACCTTTGCTGCTCTGGTTTGCCTGATTCTGTTGTCGTCATCATATATTGCAGGACAATGCATCCT